TGAGGTAGTTGGTTTCCCACATTGTTTGCAAGAGTTTCGCTGACGTCTTTTCCAATGAATTTTGCATCCTTCTTGTCGGTTACAAGCTCGTCCGCATACATTCCCTTCGTTAGAAAGATATTGGCAGATAAATTCAGCTCTCATTGGGTATTTCTTAAATTACTATAATTATTTTTTATTTAAACTTTTTTCCCAGGACAATATATCCCGAATTTAGGATATAGTATACCTTTCAAAAGTTATCTAAAAAATGATCTAATCAGAGCTTCTTGATGCTCCTGCCTTTTTTCACCCAGAGGCTGAAAAAGAAAAAACATCATCAAAACGGAGTGGTCGCGTTACCAGATATGGGGTGAAAGTTACTTGGCGGATATCTCATCTCGTGATGAATTGGCTATAAGAAATGATAAGGGATCGACTTCAACTCTCAAAGTTGAGATAGCGAATTGTCGAGATATTCCATTCGTGTCATACGACATAGAAGAAGCCAAAGAGTATATTAATAAAATCCCCTATTATGTTCTTCGAATCTATGGACATCTAGTTAATAGCCAGAAGGCGGTCGTAACTATCACTGGTATTAAGGTTTTCTTCGATATTCACGTTTCCGAAAATTCGAGTATTCCCAAATTCTGGTCTAAAATAAAGGGAATACTTACTACTGGAAAAGACAACCAGGGGAATAGAGTAAACATGGATCTGATCTGAAGAGAGTGTATAAAGGCATATCCTATTCGTGGTTATCATGCAGAAAAAAAGCCGTATCTTCGCATTACTACGCCAAATAAAGACCTAAGATTCACCGCTCTCGATATTATCTCAAGATATAATTCGGAGGTCGATCAAGAAAATAGGATAGAAACTGCTTCAAATGATACAGGCACATATTATCATAAAGTTGCGAGAGAGTATAAGATACCACTTTCCGGATGAGGGTTAATAAGAGACTATAAATACAATTTCAGTGCACCTTATTATGCGAAATCCCAGCATTGTCCACATGCATTTTATACCCACATTGATAACTTTCGTCCCATAGATGATTTCAGACCACTTTACGAGATTTATCCATCTTCTCTTTTTACTCGTGACCGAGCATTAGTTCTAACATGAGACATAGAAACATACGATTCACGTGGGTTAGGTAATTTCCTACAAGCAGAAAATGATACAGTAACACCTCTATAAATGCACCCCCTGGGGACCGAACATGAACGTGCATTTATGGAGGGTGTGCACTTATGG